TTCAGAAGTAAACCAGCAATTGAGAAAAATAAAATAAAAATCCGTTAAAGCACTCGGATGAATACATTTAGATTTATGTAATAGTATACAGAGTGAGACCGGATATTAGCATAAATATTTGTGCAATAATAATTAAGAATGATGTTATGAAAGTCACAATTGATTTCAAAGGACAATCTGGAATTAAATATGTTTAGAAGGATACGAAGAGATAAAAAGAATATCTAACGTGTCGGGGGACCAGTAATGATTTTAATAACGGTAATAATGATAAATACAAGCATAAACAGACTTCATATGTTAAGATGAATAAAAATAAGAATGAAATAGACGTGAAAAGTTTCAAAGGTTTCATTCTGCTTTTCAGTCAATTAGATGGATGACGGACCTTGTTCGTATAAATCATTATTGAATACATTGATATTCAATAGGTGACATAACCCACTTTCGGAGAGAAGATCATCAAGGAGACTTCTGAACCGGGTTTTAGTTTTATTAAGACGGAGGTTCACTGGCAGTCTGTTCCACATGGTTGAGCAGCGAATAAGGGAAAAATTCTGGCGTGAGTTTGTCTAGGTTCTTGGAATCGCTAGAATATTCTCCTTATTGCGTAGATTGTGGGATGATATCATAAGGTATGAAGGGGTGGATACCGAAGAGTAGGAAATACCGTTATTAAGCCGGTAAAATAGGATTTAATTTGATACGTCCGATCCAATGAGGTTCTAAGTTGAGTTGTTGATTATTATCTTTGGTGATAGTCTTTGTTATCGGAATACCCCAGAACAGCTTTGGTGAACCTTCTTTGAACACTTTCAATTTTAATCAGGTCATTATGCCTGCAATTACCGTAAACTAAAATACCATATTCAGGAATGGGTAAGATACATTTTCTGCATAATAACAATCTCGATTCGATATTATTGAAGTTTATCATTATTAATCCGATGAGCTTTCTAGCTTTGGATACTTGAGATGCAATGTGCTCGGAAAAGTTCAGACTGTTGCTATATATTAAACCCAAGTAACGAACAGTGTTGAGAGGTTTGAGTCTATGTTTGTAAATAGTCAGATTTAAGTTAAGACAGCGGCGAATGTGAATAAATCTACTGTTGTCAACATTAAGTGGCAAATTCCACGAAACAGTCCATTCCTATAACTTGTTTATTTCCTCTTGGATTACCGCTGAAATATATCTTTCTTTCGTGGGAGAAGAGAATGAATAAAGTACTTTCAGGTCATCGGCAAAAGGGAAACGTTCACCATACTGAAAGAGGGGAATACACATCATTGATAAAAAGGAGGAAGGGTAATGGACCAATCACACTTCCTTGTATAAACCCACTGGTTACATTCACAGGTTTAGATAAGCAAGATCCAAAGCGAACGACTTGGATACGGTATTCTAAAGACGATTTGAGCCAAGATAAAGGGGGATTCCGTACGCTAAATGAAGAGAGTTTTAGAAGAAGTTTGTGTGAGACATTGTCGAAAGCCTTACTAAAATCTAAGTACAGGATTATCACTGACTGATCAACATCTCTTCTCTGTTTGGTTTGATCAAAAGTTTCCAGGTGCGATGTGAAGCATGAGCGTTTAGTCATAAACCCGTGTTGGGATGGGCTAATCCGACTAGCCAAAAGTAAAATGATAAAAGCTTTTAGTGGATGATTTTTTCCATGGTTCTTGATAGCACTATCAATACATGATCCTGTTTTGAATCTAGAGGTGATAAGAGATGTTATCCATTCGGATGGATAGGTCTCATATTCCATAGATAGGCTGAAAAGTTTAGAACAAAATAGTGAGAATTCTCTACTACCTTATTCACAGATGATGAAGGTACCCCGTCAGGTCCACCGTCATATGACTTTTTCAGGTCAGTTATGGCCTGCTTGATGTTGGAGAGTATGAAATCAACTTTTGATAGGTGTCTGGATGTCAGTATTGGAGGTGTATTGATAGAGTTTTCAGTTCCAGTTTTGTAATATTGCGAGAAATGCTGGCTGAATTGTTCGCAAATAATATCAGGGTCGTCAACAATGCGTCCGTTAACTATGAAGAATTTAGTTGTGCCAGCAGAATTCGACTTCACACGGGATTTAAAAAGCTTTTTGTGGAGATGAGATAAGTTTTGGGCATTACATGCGGAATTGAGCGCAATACGTTCCAATGCTTATTGTGCTGACTTTACACTCCTTCAATACAGAGTATACTTGGTAAATGGCATCGAAGTTTTTTGACATATAATACATCCGTTTTAGTTTTTACCGATTCGACCTAGATTCTGGTTGACATATGATATAATTGTTTTAAAAGTAATTTTAAAGGAGATAGTAGCGTCTATTGCGAATTTCGTGGTAATATGGAATACTTCTACTGTTTCTGAAAGCTTATCATCAGTGGAGAAACTGCTCCAATTAGAATGCTTAAAATGAAATCGAAAGTCTTAGTGTGATTAGTCTCTATATTGAAAACGCGTTTTTATCGTCTTGGATTTGTTGGATTTCGCAAGAAACCGCATAGTGTAGAGGAATATTTTATGATTGTTGTTGTGAGACTTTTCGCCAACAACTACAAGTGTCGGTATGGCATTGTGATGGAATATCAAATAGAGAATATGGTAGTTTCGTATTGACGGGCTTACATATTGCTGCCAACCGTGTATGTCTAAGGAACTAATAAGCCTTCAAAGCATAGTGGGCCAGAGTGTGTCTTCCATTTGATGCTTGGAAGGTCAAAATCACCATATATAATTTTGAAGGTAAAATCAATGGAGGTAGCCCTAGTAAATGACTCACTAATAGTAATGCCAGTCAAACTGGAAGCTCGAAATGCGCATACAACCAGTATTTTACGTTCGTGAGCGTGGATGGTAAGACGTATCGAATCAGGTTGTTTGCTGAGGACAGCATTGCTATTTGGTCAAACCTCAGGTACTATAGTTTCAGTATCGTCTTTGATATCTCTTCTTTTTGGGCGTTAAAACCTTCATGGAATCTGTTTACTCCTCTAGTCAAGTAATTCTTAATCTTCACGTTGAAGCAACACCAACATGATTCTGTTACCTCGATTATTTCAGTACTGGGCTACGGCTTTGCAGTTTCTGTTAATGTATTGTAGTGTGGCGTTCAGTCGCGGTTGACTATGATAACCACTATAAGAAGACTACGTGCCAGTTAACCGATAAGATTCCCCGTAGGTCAAGTATCAGAAGGCAGTAGGCTGTAGTCGAGACGTATTTGTTGGCGATCTCAGGGTATCGAAAGAATAACGAGATCGTGATGGGTAACTAATGTGGTTACTGAGCGTAACCGAATTCATGCAAGGTCACAATCAACGAAAGAATGTGTGTATTTTGGTACAGTTAAACAAACAAGTACAGTAAAATAATCGCTGGCACAATTGGTTATAATAATTGTTTCTATTACACCAATCGCGTCTTCTTGATAAAAGTAGGTCCCTACAGTATATTGCCATTCCACCTCATTCTTTTGTACACTAATAATATTACAAAAATATCGTTCCCTGCAAGCTCGATTCTTCGTCTAAGAAGTCTGGATTTAGCCATGTTCCAGTTAGGACGGTGATCTTCATGCATAACTGAAATCACATGTTTCTGATTTCTCCTATTTAACCCTTTAGTTCTGTTACGTTGCTACAGAGGTAAATGATGGTTTGTCTCATTAACTGATGCCCCTCTACAGCAACATCCGTCCTATGGTTTTTACTCAGGTTGTTGTTTGAAGTGTGTTGACTAGTTATGTAGTTTATTCAAGTGGAAAGTCTCACTGAGAAGTTCTTATCGTAACTCATACTTGGCGCTGAAAAACAGATGTAATGCCTAAGTCCGAGGCGATAAATGTTTTTAGACCAAGTTATCAGCCAAATTGTAGGCTAATCGTAAATATCATTACAAACGCATGACCAAGAGGGAACTCAAAAATCAAGGGGTCTGTACTCTTAAAGAGTCAAATAACAAAGATCTATATAACTTAGAGATTTCAGATGTCTTTAATACTAACTTGATAGACCATCTAAACCAGGAGCCTGAAAACGCGAAATGTCTCTCAACTATAGTGCCAGCTGAGGATCTAGGAAATATTCAACGAAATCCCGGGTTAGTATTGAAGACGCGAAAATCCCTGAGCTCAGGAGAGTCAACAAGATATGACAGCATTCGGCCTATAATCCTGGAACATTGAGCGGAGGCTACCGCCAGACCGGTGCGTGACCTGTTCAAGCACTCACTAGATTCACACGCGGTTCCCAAGATAATGGAAGCTGGTTACTTTCTGCAATCTTCAAAGGGAGTAATACAAAAACTTAGCCTGTTACGGACAAGTAATATTGCTGCCAATAATGTTGGAGGCAACGGAAGGACTGGTCGATGAAAAAATCAGGAGATACGTGGATAAAAACATCATCCTCCATAAAGTCGAACACGGGTTCGGGAAAGACTGGTCCTGTTCGTCCAGTCTGCTCATAGCATAGGAAGAACAGACGACATTCTGGGACATAAGATATTGGTTCACGTAATGCTGCTCGATTTCGCAAATCTATTTAACACAGCATCTCATATACTTTTCATATCGAAGGTTAAAAATTTGGGTTTCACTGACTCCCTTTTATCCTGACCGTGAAACTTTATAGTGAACAGGATGTATAATACCGAGGCACATAGTTTACGTGAACATGAACATTCCTCCCCATTCGACACAAAGCACATACGCTTTCCATGGAATCCCACTTCCAACGGTCCCCTCAGAGCGGGGTCTCGGGCTTGTACTCATAGAGAGCCTCGAGACTAGTTCAAACCACATAGGGGACGCAGCAAATGTAAACGCAAATTTTGACTTTGTGCTAAGATAGCATGATGCTATCCCCCCTGAGTTGTTCCTAACACTGTTCAAAACGTGTACACGGTCCCACCTTGGAGTCGGTTTATACAAGCTCGTGACAAAGGTATTGGGTATTGAATACTTGATATCAACACTTCACCAGGCGCTATAACGTTTTGAAGGTCGCTGATCATGTGTGTTTGAAATGGATTTTAGTAATTTGCACTGCTTTGTGGGCAAGGGGTACGTTTTTCATTCTGTTTAAAGCTAAATTTATTCTCTACCAAAATGCGAGATATTAAGTTTTTACTGAACCAGACCTTCAGCCTTGTAAATACTATTATATTGTCAGCATAGATTAACCACATACTTTAGGTGGAAGCTAAGCAAAATCGGTAAACTTTGTGATGGTCACTTCCATTCGAGGCTCAAAGCATATAAACAGTTAACCTGTGCATAAAATGTTACGAACCGAGTAACGGAGACCAGAGATTTATTGTGCTATTACAGCAAGTTTATTAGGTTATATGGAGTTGAGAGCGCGAGCAATGTATAGTACGCTAGAGATTGCTTTGGGTTTGTAATAAATAAATGATTAGTTTTAATTTGAAGTCACGTCTTTCTTCAGGTTTTGCTTTAATATGGGGTCCATTAACTAGTTTGTGACTGCATAATTAGGATGAAACGTATTGTATTTAGTGGCACTATCTTGAATTTTCACAAGCTGGCTCTAAGATTAATAATGGGCAAAACAGCGAACAAAAATCGACCGGTAGTTTGAGCAGTGGATCTCCGAATAAATACCGAAGGATTTAAAATGTAGAAAATAACGAACTGTTCCTGCCTGTTTAAGGATATAGCCCGACTAGTTCATGTTATTAAAAACAGTCCCTTTGATATATTTCGATAATGCGGTGAGAAGACGAAGTTTATCAGAATTATGTTATGTATTCGCGCAATACATTTCGAACAATCTGACTACACATACTTGTTGAGACATTTTTATATGAAAATTAATAGGTCAACTAGACAGGTTAAAGGTAAGCCGTAACAAAGAAAGAAAATTATTAAAGTACACAAAAACAATGTGATTACCACTCTGGATAGTAAATCAGTATTACCAGGGTAGGTTAGGTGTAAGGACAAATTGTTTTTGAACGCATAAAGGGGGTTTCAGTTTCCGTATAGCCAATGCTTCAATAAACCTTAGTATACGTCCTTAAAGGCTTTTGTATAACACTACAAGTGCTGGTTTGATGTCAACCTTATGACCAGTCTCAATCAAATGTTTCGCAATGGAGGATGATGTCTGTCTATTGTGTGATCAGATTTTACCATTGTAATTCATCTGTTTACACATCCATTTTGGTATGTGTTCACCCATCCTTAATTGCAAATCACGATTGCTCCTTCCTGTGTATGTGTTTACGCACATACATGTAAATTGATCGTCTCCGTTTCAACATGGGACTATTTATGTCGCCTCTAAATGGTAACATAATGTGAACTCGCTTTTTGGGTGCCAGAAGTGTCATTTGTCTAGTCATATTGCAACCCTTTCAGCGGTTTGTGAACTTCAATAATAACCATTATTCATTGACGTATTAGTCAGGAGCTTCGTCTCTACTTCAATAGTGTCGCTAGTACAAATACGATTGATTCTATTAAATAAGCCCCTTATTAATCCATGTTGGCCTTCTATACATAGAACGTCTGATGGAACCATCATCTCTCCTACTAATCAGGATGTCTAGAAAAGGAAGTTGGTTGTTCTTCTCTTATTCTCATGTAAGAGAGATGTGCTTTTGACTTGTATTGAGTTCTTTTAACAAGCGGTTTACATCTTCACCTTTATTTCCTATGATCATGATATCATCAACATACCGTTTATACAGAAACTTCTTCAAAATAAAGTCTTCAGATAGATTTTCAACATATCCCATGAGCATATCAGCTAGCAACGGTCCTAAAGGGCTACTCATAGCTACACCATCGATTTGTCGAAAGTGCTCACCCTCAAAAGCGAATTTTACATTTTCAGTACACAATAGTAATAAATCTTTAAGAGTTTTAACAGGAAATGACAATGGGAGGTTATTCAAAGAGATATAGTCATACAAAATATCAGTAGTTTTCCTAAGAGGTACATTTGTAAATAAAGTGTTCACACCAAAGGAGCACATTGTCATTGTCTTTATATTTATGTCCTTTAAGTACTTAATTAATTCAAATGTCAATCAAGGAATACTTACAATATTGATTTTGGATAGGGTTTAATACTTTTGTAAGCCATTTTGCAAGGTTGTGTGTAGGTGACCGACACATTGATAGAATTGGATACTTAACCTACCCTGGTAATACTGATTTATTATCCAGAGTGGTAATCACATTGTTTTTGTGTACTTTAATAATTTTCTTTCTTTGTTACGGCTTACCTTTAACCTGTCTAGTTGACCTATTAATTTTCATATAAAAATGTCTTAACAAGTATATGTGTGGTCAGATTGTTCGAAATGTATTGCGCAAATATATCACATAATTCTGATAGTTCATGTTAGTTGAGTGTCTACGAATTGATCACGGTGATTCTTCGTTTTGCAAAAAAATAAAACTGGAGGGAGACTTCGAAAAGCATTTAATTTGACTTATTTATTTTCGGTACTAAACGACCTGAAGTCCTAAATCCGTTTGACCAGCCAGGAAACCGAAAACATAAATTGTTAGTATGTTATTCTAAGACTTGTGATAGATATATGGAGTTTCAAACTCTTGCGTCGTAGCTGATGTTAGCTCGTGATAAAAACTGCAACCATAACTCCTAAACATAATCCCTAATACTAGTTTCTAACCGTATTTTAATATATGTACTATGATCTTTAAGAGGTTTGCACACTCACCATTGGCTCGGCGGTATAGTACAGCCCTACCCTATTCTCATCTACTCATTTGCTGCCTGAGTTGAAGTCATACTAGCCCTCTCTCTTAAACTGACTCGATGATTGTCACCAAATTAAATTCGGCTTAAGTAGCACGCTAATAAGTGTTTCAATTTTCATAGTTAAATTGATCAAAGTATAATCTCAGTTGTATTTAGTCTAGTCCGATTAATTACATACCCATTATTTCTAACTTTCCACATAACGCATTTATAAGACTGGATTTCTCTGCATACTACTCAAGCCACTCGACATATTCTCCCCTTGAGAGTTAAGGGCTGAAAATGCCTCCACTGAAAATTGGGGATAGTAAAATTAGACAAAAATGAATAATTGTGAATTCATCTTCATATATGCATATATTCTGTACATCCGTTAGGTGTTAAAGCTTAAGGAATTGTGATTTTACTTAATGTTCACTTATTTGGGCATAACTATAGCGTTTCTCTAATGACATTTGGATTTTATACTCGTTCGTTAGACATCATTAAAGTGAGAGAAATATTTTAAAGTTGCACAGCAATATTCTTTAAAGGTTCCATTGAATATGGTGATGAGTGTATCATCAGTGACTTTATTAACAAAGCCCTTTAGCTTATAGAAGTATCCCTATTAGTGATTTTACCCGACCATAGTTGCTACCTTGGCATAGAGGTTGGGCTTACATGTCGCGATGACACGATCGAGCTATATCGACTAAAATACTCACTCCTTTAGGTCCTACCGTGCCAGGTGGATCGGCACGATAATTCTCATAAAAAAGGAAAGCTTTTTCTCTATTCCCTCGGATGGTTTATGAACTCGACCAGTCCGACGAAATTACTCCGTTCCGAAACTCTGAGCATTGTATCAACCAACCCGACTGAAAGTCCTAGACCACCATTCTTAAAAAATCTGGAGTTACACTATCAATGTTTGTTACTCTTCTCTAGTGTTTTCGATTTCGCTTTAGTTCGGAGGCCCAATATAATACTTGTACACTAGTTTTAGTGGTTATGTGAATATGTTACATTTTTTCTGCTCCCAAATGCCCTGGTACGACCGAAGGTGAGACGAGTTCACTCTCCCTTTCGAAATGCGTTCATATGGCAACGCGTTTACAACCACTCCGAAGGAGAGTCCTATTCACAACGGGAGTTTATTTACGAAAGTGAAAGGATGAAAAATGGACATCCACGGTTCAAACTTAGTTGGTACATATAGAGGATTTACCTAGGGGAGTTGACAAACCATTGTTTAGAACCAATGGTGCGCATACGCTCCAAGATCGCGAGGAGATGAAAGACCCACAAACATATCTTTGATTCTCGGCTACCACGGGAGTGCGTTTTCCGACGTTTCTTCGCCGTCCTATGGATTAGTTTCCACGACGTCATGAAAATGGTGGATTACGTCTCTTGCAGCTTGGCAAAACATTCAGCTTATAAGCACTGGGTTTATGAAGGCTCCTTACAACTTAAAGCTCATCGGACAGTAAAGTTGGTCTGTTGCCCCGGTAGCATCAACCAGTTTGTTCTGTCCTCTCTAGCCGGTACCGGTTGAGCCACCTGACGAGGTGGAGGCCCTCGAGAAAGTTCAAATCCTGAACCACCAAAAGTCACCAGGTCCACATAACTTACCCCCAGCTCTTTCTAACAATGGTAGCAACCTTCCGGTCAGAGAACTGACTAGGTTGTTTGAGAAACAATATATTCCATCATCTTGACGCGATTGTTGTTGTCATCTTTAGAAAGGGTCTATATCATCTATGCAACAACTATTGGGGGTAAAATCTACTTCCGATTACGTCCAAACTATTGACTGGTATATGTCGATCCATTAGGACTCTCTGGTTAGGGTCCGATAGATGATGTAACTCAGTGGCTTGAGACATTATCAGACATGGCTCAAAATAAAATCCAATGGCGATCTTGTTGTAAGGCTCTTTAACTATTAGAAGAGAGAACTTCCTTGACTGAAAGGATTCTTTCTGGTTCCATTTTTCTTAACTGAGCTCCTTTTTCTGTTATATACTGCTCTTGTTCACTTATGTATTTAGATTATACTTAGCCTCCGTCCTCTACCTCTTCGCAATCTTTTTTTTGGCTGTTTTTATCTTGGTACCCATTTCTACCAGTTTTTAGGTATGTTAATTAAATACTTTTAAAAATGTAATTTATTTTGCCGTTCGTTATAGACTCTCTTTGTTAACCTAAAAAAATGTTTCAGTTATATCCAGCCAGACATTTGGGCATATTAAAGCTCGTAACACCTGAATTCTCTTACTTGCCGTGTAAGAAAAACCGTATGCCTTTATTTTTGTAAATATTATATATTGCTGCTATAAAGTTTGGGTTTGTTCCAGTCCCTAACCTGTCTTAAACCATCTAATTGTTTTTGCTATCGTTATTATTCGCATTGTTTCTATACATTTCACATTTTGCATACGTGATTCCATATTTTTTAGCTCCCTTTTATCCTCTGCATTATATTTTTTCCGGTATTATTTTATTATTAGTATGATTTCTACTGCATCCTCTGCCACCATAAATACAAATACCAGTGAACGAGATTGTAAAATTGGTCAGCTGCAATATCAGCAACAACAGTTGCTCCGTCAAAGTACTCCTTACAATTTCAGTTCTTGGGATTGGAATGCTGTGAATATCATGAATAATAATAATAATAATAATAATAATAATAATAATAATAATAATAATAATAATATTGTTAACGGGACTCAACAACCAATTTGCAAACCTTTGTTTCCTGAAAATGACGTCATGAAGATGATCAATTTTATAAAACGTAAGGCGATCATTTTTTGTTCTTCTAGTTAACCCTTTATTTTTTATATTTCAAATAGAATGTTTGAATGAATCGACTAAATGCCTATTTAAGCGCTATTCTAATGATAACTGGCAAGATTTGTCAGTGTTCACAATATATTTTGCCCGTGAACTGCACATATAAATCACTGGAAGAAAAGTATACAGAACAACAAAGTTATCTCTATGTCTCATCAACGTAGTATTTATAACGTAATTTTCTTTCTTTAGTCAACCTGGTAAGTGGAAAACATTTCAAAACTATCAACTTAACAATACAGTCTCAGAGTTGTCATTCGCATTCTATTAGCTGTAAGCTACTATCAATGAAAACAAATCATAACTTAAAACCTTACATGGTTTACTACTCGCTAGCCTAATAAACATATAGTGACACAGAAATTTTTGTTTGACGATTAAAACTTGTTTTTGGTTGTACTCAATACCAACTACACCAGTTTAAAACAACTAACAAAGATAGGTATGAAGCATGATCTACATAGGGGGATATACTAGTATATCAAAGTAATCGGTGAACAAACATTTTCCTAGTGTAAGGGATATCGGTAAATGATTTACTCGATATTCTTCGGTGAAGAGGTTGAATTCTTCTGACCTCTTGTCAATCTTATGGTCGACGATTATGTTTTAAGAGGCTCAGTTAGTCAAATGTATTATAAAGAAAATTTTATTGTTAAGTTCTAAACGATTATTTTATTCATTTAATTTGAATAATCTAATTGGAACATTCTTCTATTGGTATCGTTTCATTCTGGTAGATGTGAAGTGGCTATTATTTGAGTTTTATCCGTGGAGTAATATTAAATATGCTATCATATGTACTGTTTAGAGGTCTAAGTTTTGCTCCACTTTGTACTGGCTGTTACCTTTGGCACTTGAATTTAGCGTCTTATCGAAAAAGCTCAGTTTAATCATTGTTTTTAGACTTTTTAACCATCTTAATAAAATCCGAAAAATTGAACTTACCCATCCAAACTATTACGTAAACTTGGTCTATCATTATTGGTATGATGATCATTTTCTTAAGTTTATTTTAATATGATTCTTTTTTGTCCGATTAATATTGCGGTAATTTATTTGATATTCCTCCATATTATAACTTTCGCTCCATAAATCATTTCAGTGTAGTTGCTTAAAGTCCCATTTTCTCCTGAAGCATTAATTACTGCACTGATTCATTCGCATATCAAAATTTTTATGTTTGCTTTCCGTAAAATGATATGTGCTAAGTTGTATTAGATTCTAAAAAAGGTTAAGGGTTTTTGTGGTTACGTAATTCACAGTCGATCTATCTTCGTTTATGTTGGATTCTACATTGTTTATGAGTGACTATCTGAAGGTATGTGATACTGACCAACAAACAAAACTTAAACAATTGGAGGAGTAAAAGAATTTATTGCTTATAACTCTCCGTTGAATGTCGGGTGTGTAAACCAATTAGCTACATTACATGATTGCTTTTTAATCAATTCATATAGACTTATTACAGGTTTATTTTTTAGATATCAGTGTTTGTTTAAACTCATCTTTCTTGATTTTAGAGGAAAATTATGCTCCTACAATGATTAATTCAGCCAGCTTCAGTCATGAAAATAATAATAAACAAGGGTTTGTACGGGAAACTCAACCGTCATTGAATAAATTAATTGAAATGGGCTATCCAAATCAGCATTGCCCTTATCCTTTAGATCATTTACATTCACAATTTCAATTCAATCAAAGTAGATGCTCATCAACTACAACACGATGTAAGTAGATTTTATATATGGGACAAAAAATGACTTCAGTTTTTATAGCGTTTCTAGACAATATCATCAACACAGACTTCAGAAAAAAGTGTTTTTTTAGAGATATTTTTCCACAGGTAGCTGCTAATAGCTTATCCTGTAGACATAAGTTGTAACTGAATATTATCGGTAGTTTCATTGTTATCGTCAGTCAGTTACAAGTAATGCGATAATCTGGTAGAATTATACATCAACACAAATTGTTGTACTGCATCAACATAGCAAGATGAAAACAAGAGTAGCAGTGATAGTAAAAAAGGACTAGATAATGAAAATATGATTCAGTTAGAAAGAATCGATTCCCTTTATAAAAGATTCAAAATTTCGAAATTGAAGATATATAGGTATTTAAATTTGATGTTGTTAAAATGAGTTATCAGACAACTCGAGGTAAAAAAAATAATGTCAAGTGATTTTTTAAACAAATGTTGTGTAGATAAACAGAGCTCAAATAATAAATCGTTTTTCTGAAAGAATAATGCACCAACACATAAATTCTGTAAATATTTCTACTGAGTTTATCATTTTATAGATAAAGAACCAACTGTTCGTAATGAAGAAAATCCTGTTTATTCTGAAGCTGATAATAAATCAAGCATTCAAGAGGATCCATCATCAATGGATAAGAACAGCAATTGTAAAAGTATGTAAAATTATACTTAACTTTTTTGTTTTAACTGAAGTCTTAATTTATTCACATTTTAATACTAAAATAAATGTTCTTGTTAAAGGATATAATTGTGATTATCGAATGAATGACCATTTGTTAATATGATATTTTTCCATGTATTTTTTCAAACAAAATTCAATCTAAAGTATGATTTTTTTGTCTGTTGAGAGGTTTCGTTGAGACCATTTCAATTCGTAGGTAGTTTTCTTCACGGTTTAATGTCAGTTGTGTTATTACTAAAACTCAGCGGGACACTGTACGGCTGTTTCCGTCCCAGTATGCGACTCAGTATAGTATGAACCCCATAACCCCATCAGGGGTTTGAATATACTGGTTTGGTTTGTTTTTTTCGTAGATAAACAAAGGACCCAATCACTTAGTATATATATTATCGACATGATGGTAATTAGCGTTTATTTCTTCGTACTTTATCGGAAATGTTTCGTTGATTAGCTTATTGCTAATCATAAAGTATCTAATCCACTTAGTGACTTCTTGTTTATGATAAATAAACACACGTAATTATACTTACCAATCTACATTTATGCTTTTATATACATACTGTGGTTGACAGTAAAAACAGTTTCAGATGTTCCATCACCTGTTGAGCTCGACGTTAGTTAACACTTTTAAAACCCATTCTGTACGCTTCCTGCCCGTACGCCCTTTGATTCTTGGATCTGTGTTATTTGGTTACTGATTTCCACACTTCTTATTGAGTTTATTGTGGCCAACTCTTGAGTGGCCCTTTATCTGACACCATTTGCATCGTAAGAATGATTGTTATGGGAATATGCATGTCGCCAACCCTCATATATTTTCATTGGCTTAAATCGCGTTAGCGAATAACAGAATTAAGTAAGTCAAATACGAGAATGGATTTTAAATACGCATATTTCATACAATCGTTGATCCAGACAGACGATCAGAGAAACGAAACAAAGAAAGCGAAGCGCAACGAAATGATGCGCAGTCAAGATGGCAAGTGAGCCAACTCGATTTAATCAAGCGTTGGTCGATATTTATAGTTGTTGGGGTGATCCAGAAAACTTCTTGCAAAACACAAGAAAGGCTCAGGAAACACTAAGAAGCATTTTATCCGACCAGCGTTCACTTAAAGTTTAGCCAGAAACATCAAGAAAGTGAGAAGTTTCTGATTAGCTGATTACTATACTGGCATTACTATGCTAGCATTCCAGAATTTTCGGGAGAACTACAATGAATATTTCTTTGGAGCAACTAGAAGCTTATATGGAGCAGATATTCTGCAAAACCTTACTTCAAGAAATACAGGTCTGGCGTATTAACGAAAATAATATTGGTATCACATAATCAAGCACGAAATTGCCGCCAAAGAAAATACGTAACCTTAGGTATTATTAAACACCGTACTCGCCTTCAGCTTGATACAGCTTCTGATATTACTTTAATCAGCCCAGAAACATGGAAGAACATTGGAAGACCCACAGTTTTCCCAACAACACAGCTGGCACACAGTGCGTCTGAGGGGGAAGTTAAATATTGTTGGAGGAGTACCGTGCACTGTTTCTAAAGGTACTGCAACAACAAATGCAACAGTATATCTTATAAAGAAACCAGCACTCGACTTAATGGGGTTAGATCTTATAGAAACACTTAAACTAGCAGACCATTCTATTAACAGTATCTGCAGACGAATCAGAACTGACAACACCCCACAGTGGAGCCAGAAAAATGCCATGCTACAAAGACACCAAAACGTGTTTAAAGAAGGATTGGGGGAATGTACGAAGGCCAAAGCAGTGCTAATGTAGTGAACAAGAACACGGGTGGGGACAATCGACTGTATTTAGCAGAAAGATTACAGACTATCTCAATAAAATGTGAATACCATAAAGTCAATCGTCAATTTGCAAAATATCATTCCATCATATCAAACTGTACTGTTCCCGTTGCAAACACTAATCCATTGTCTCCCATTCCATTGTACATGTGTTTTCTTACAATTCCATTGTGCTCTTGCTCTTCCTTTCTTGATCTTCGCCATCTTCTGCTGCCGGACATTACGTTCTTTTAACGCACGTTATATACTACTTATATGAATATAAGTAGCTCACACCACACTAACTCTAAAACCTGCAGCTACTCCCGTTTTTCGACCTAAAAGACCTGTGCCCTATGCTAGTCTTCCAAAAGTTGAACAAGAATTACAACGATTTCAGCAAATGGGTGTTATCGAACCTGTGAACTTCTGAAACTGGGCTGCACCAACAGTGGTGGTCAAGAAGTCGGATGGAAGCATCCGTCTATGTGCAGACTACTCTACTGGATTAAATGAAACTCTATAGTCTCACCAGTATCCGGTACCCTTGCCGGAAGATCTTTTAGCTAAGCTGAACGGTGGCAGATATTTTGCGAAATCGGACTTATCAGACGCATACCTACAAATCCCGGTATCTGATGAAAGCAAAGATCTCCTAGCGATCAACACACACAAAGGACTGTTCCGGTATAACCGAATACCTTTTGGGGTGAAAACGGCGCCCTCTATTTTTCAGCAAATTATGAATACCATGTTACAAGGTATTCCAGGGGCAGCAGCTTGTTTATACGACATCATAATTATGGCAGCAGACAAAATGGACCTACAGAAGAAACTGCACCAGGTACTAGAACGCATAGCCGATTATGGTTTTCGCCTCTGAGCGGAAAAGTGTGACTTCTATATGCAGCAAGTACGATATCTTCGATTCATAATAGATAAAGACGGAAGACGACCAGATCCAGAGAACCTTGAAGCTGTGAGAACAATCCCTAGACCCAGGGACATTACTACCCTACGATCGTTCTTGGGATTGGTCAGCCATTATGGTATCTTCCTTTCCGATCTCCATCGTCTATGTGCTCCACTAAACCCCCTACTAGAAACGAATACAAGATGGAATTGTCTGCGGACTGTCAAGCATCTTTCGAGAAAATCAAGCAACTCCTAACTTCCAATTTCTTATTGACACATTATGATCCCTCGCAACCGATAGTCGTTGCTTCAGATGCTTCTAACTATGGTGTGGGCGCAGTCATCTCTCACATTTTTCCTAACGGGTCTGAAAAATCTATCTCCCATACTGCCAGATCTTTGACAACGACCGAAAGGAACTATAGTCACATTGAGAAGGAAGCCCTATCGATTATCTTTGCAGTGAAAAAGTTCCACAAGATGATGTATGGTCGACATTTTACCCCAATAACAGATCATAAGCCACTACTTGCAGTTTTTGGGTCAAAGAAAGGAATTCCTGTTCATACAGCTAACCGACTCCAATGATGGGCAACCACACTTCTGGGTTACGACTTCAAGGTCAAGTATCAGTCTACTACCGCCTTCGGGCAAGCTGACGCATTGTCAAGATTAATAGGCTCCCAATCAAAAACCTTAGAGGAGACTCTTGTAGCAAATATAATAGCTGAGAAAGAAGTCCATTGCGTATTGGATGACGCAATTAATGGACTCCCATTAACCTTTGAAACTATCAAGAAGATCACTGAAAGTGATAAGATATTGGACACAGTTAAATGCTATCTCTCGACCAAATGGCCAAACAATCGCCTTGACGGAGAACTTTTGCGATATTTTCGTCGACGGGACTCACTGATGGTTGTCGACTCGTGTATTATGTTCGGTGATCGAATTGTTATTCCGAAGGTATTACGTCACAATGTTCTCAAGCAGTTTCACAGTGGAATCAATAAAATGAAATCGTTGGCTCGTAGTTACGCTTATTGGCCGTCATGCATTCAAGCTGCTGAAAATCCTTTGAAATGCGAACCTCATCATTGGCCAGAGACATTAATGGCTGATAATGGCTCGCAGTTCGTCGCAGAATCGTTTAAGCATTTCTGTAGCGTAAATGGAATAACTCATCTTCGTTCTTCGCCCTATCATCCGCAATCGAACGGACAGGCAGAACGCTTTGTGGACACCTTTAAACGAGCATTACTGAAAGGGGGAGGCGAAGGGACAACTGGACAGGTAATCACAAAATTTTTAACATCCTACAGAGCCACTCCGAACCTAAATGTTCCAGATAGTAAGTCCCCTGCCGAAGCCATGTTCAGAAGGCGTATTCGAACCGTTTTCAACGCCATGTTACCATCCAAATTAGTGAATGGGCACAGTCAAAATCCAAATATCCGGAGCTCTCATATTGGCGACGAAGTTTTCATTAAATCCTACATCGAGAAGAACCGATGGGAGCCGGGAGAAGTTGTACAAAAATTGGGAAGAGTTCTGTACAGAGTCCGAGGATGTTTTGGAACATGTATACGACATACGAATCAAATCTATGAGTACAAAGGAACGATGCAGACTCGAAAAAACCGGCCGAATTTTCCGTTGGGGTTAATCTTAGACACACCAACGCTACATATGCCCAAGGACACTGAAAAGAAGCCTCGAACAAGGCAGACGACAAGAATAATGGGACGCCGCTGCAGCCCAGTTGTCAAGCTACCATAGAAAGAAATCTTATTCGAGGGAGGTGTTGAGTCGGCTTTCCGAGAACTGCAACGGAGCCTCCAGAGGCCCTAAAGGAGCCGAAGAGTCCTAGCCAATCAGAGCATGACGGAGCTTTCTAGAATATCAACGTGGCGTGCTACTATTGGTCAGTAGCATAATATTTCTTCTAGTGGATTGGCCAAAATAAGATGTTGATTTAACGAATGTTAACATCTATAAATACCCGTGTTTTTCTGTACAGAAATGAACCTTGGAGTAAAGTACTTCTCGCATACCTTGCGTCTTCTCTCTCGCTGTATAGTCCTAGCTTGGGGGTTACAGAATAGCTTAGGAAACGAATATAGCGTTCAATCCACAAGACTTGTCAAAGATAACGAAGGAACCAGGAGATGACTGGGTGAAACATGCAGAACTTGTGAACCGAGAATTTGAGAGGTTCAAGTTGTCTTCCATGACTGAAGACCAGTTTAAATATCTAGTATTTGTCTGTAGCCTGCGTTCATCCGAAGATGCTGACATCCGAATGAGAATCCTTAGCAAGCTCGGACACTGTCCCAATATGACCCTGCAGGAAGTAACTACCGAATGTTAAAGGTTAGTGAATTTGAATCATGATACCTCGATGGTAGAGAACGGTAACCGGTTCCTTCACGTCAATGCAGTTGAGAAAAAAGTCTCACGAGGTTCCAGCACGCAGAATTATCGTAATGACAGCGACAAACCATCATCCCCATACTGGTTATGTGGCGGTCGGCATTTCAAAAGGTTTTGTTTGTTTAAAACTCATCGTTGTACTACGTGTTCCAGAAAAGGGCACAAAGAAAGTTATTGCACAACCCGAAGACGCCGTCAACCAAAAGTGTATTCTAAAAGATTCAAGCAACAAACGGCTAAAGTAATGGTAGCTCTTCACAAAGCCGGCTCTCATAACCGTAGAAAGTATGTTTCTCTCAAGATTAATGGGTATGATACCCGCTCACAGTTAAACGCAGCCTCCGATATAACACTTATAAGCAGGAGAACGTGGGAGAAAATTGGGATGCCGCGAATATGTTCAACTGATCAATCAGCACATAGTGCATCCGGAGGAATTCTAAGTATTGCTGGTGAAATTCATTGTGAAGTCACAGTCAAAGAGTTTACGGAGAAAGGTGTAATATTTTCGACAGACCGTCCAGCGCTCGACTTATTGGGGCTTGATTGGATAGAAAATTTGAAGTTAATAGACCATCCCATAAACTCGATCTGTAACAACGTCAGTACGTCGAAAGTCGATGAGAAAAACTCAGTAGAAGCATTATTAAAACGACATGAAGTGGTATTTAGTGATGGTCTTGGAGAATGCACTAAATTTAAAGCTGCTCTTACCCTTCAACAGGAATCAAGATCGGTGTTTCGATCAAAAAGACCCGTATCATATTCTGGGTGTCATTGAACTGGTGAATTTCTCAGAATGGGCCGCACCGATAGTAGTAGTAGAGAAGACTAATGGTAGCGTCTGTTTATATACTGATTACTCAACTGGGTTGAATGAAGCCTTAAAAACTCATCAGTATCCATTACCCTTACCTGAAGATCTTTTTACTAAACTAAATGGAGGTAAGCTATTTGCAAAGTTGGATTTATCGGAATCTTATTTACAAATTCGTGTTGCTGACGAGTGTAAAAATCTGCTCACACAAGGGCCTATTCCGGTATAATCGACTACCCTTCGGAGTCAAGACGGCCCCATCTGTATTTCAGCAGGTAATGGATAGTATGCTACAGGATGTTCCAGGTGCTGCAGCTTATCTGGATGATATAATAATTATGGGAGTAGATAGAATAGACTTAGAAAAGAAGCTCGACCAGGTGCTGTCGCGAATAGCCGAATATGGACTTCGGCTTCGTCCAGAGAAATGTAACTTTTGTATGCAAAAATTACGCTACCTCGGATTTATAATCGACAAAGATGGAAGAAGACCAGATCTAGAGAATACCCAGGCAGTGAAAACTATGCCCAGACCGACGGATGTCCCCACACTATGACCCTTTTTGGGACTAGTTAATCATTATAGATCTTTTATTCCGAACCTTCATCAATTACGTGTCCCCTTGAATAAGCTTCTGGCGAAGAATGTAAAGTGGAATTGGTCTGTGACTTGCTAAGCTGCTTTCGGTGAAATCAAGAAAGTCATGTAGTGACTAAGTTTGTTTTCACTTGATAATGTAAATTCCAATCCTATTCAAGCTGATTTTAAAGTTATTAATTACTTTGGCGTCGCGGGGTGGGATCGTGAATGCGCACTGCTGAGGAGTCCTATACTAGGAATAAACGGCCTTCCAGGTTTTCCATGGTGGTCTAGCTTCAATTAACTCATGAATTCAACTATTAGAATTACCAGTTTGATAATAAAATTATAGTTTTCACAAGTGCCATATTTTCAACTTTAAGAATGAAAAGTGGTTAAATTGCATAACTACTGAATACATTAGTCAGTAGTTTCAGAATGCTTATACAAATAGCTTATATATGGTTGGTCTCAAATTGTTTTATTTAGTTGACGAATATTATTTTTTTATTTGTTACTATTGTGCCATGTTATTGTCACGGTATGATAAAGGGTGCGTGATAAAATATTTGGTCTTTAATTAATTCGTGCATTTAGATGTGTAAATCAGATAGTCCTTTTATTCATTACTTCGTCATGAAATACAACTCTGTCTTTAAGTCTTACAGTGTATTTAAAGTGTAGACAATCAGTTTCGGTTTGTGTGTATGGTTTACTGGATAGTGCAAGTGTTTGTGAAACATGGATATAAATATCACCTGTAAACGGTAGTTGTTGTTGCTATAACTATACTACTTATGAGTAACTCGAATTTGTTTCTTGCTCTTTATCGGTTGATCGTAATCTGTTTTAGTGCTTTATGAAAGTTTTTCGTTTTGGTCTTATTGAACCAGTCATTTTGTGCCTGTGTGCGTTGAGATTTGACTGTTGTTGCTGAGGTCACCATATTGAGTGTGATTTCAACATAAAATAATTATCATTTATTGTAGACCCAAACATCATTCATATATTTTCATACGTAAATATTCCGAGTAGCTAAGGTAAGTAGCCCTTTGACTACATTTGACGTCAAGTAAGCTTTTCCGGTAAGTCTTACAGCAGTAGTTACATCTATTCGATTTCACAGTTGGCTAATATATTTTGATTTAATTTGTTTAAAAATTGATTTAATTTATTTGTTTCTCACTCTTCCGGCTTTACAATTAGGCGAAAAGTTCGCATGTGAACATTGTGAAAAGAAATTCAAGACAAAGTCTTATTTGAATGAACATGTGAAAGTTATTCATGAAGGTAGTTTAATCATTGAGTAGCATTTTGACTTTCTGTTCATTGTGCATCTATTTTTCCATGTTTATTTTTGGTTTAGTTAAATAAAACAATAAGGTTGGAAAACGATTAATAGTTTGTCGGTAATTATGTAAATTACTGTAATGCTGTGTTCATTTTTGGTTTTTTGGTTCTAAATCGCGATTTCGGATATGACTCCACATAGTACGGTTATAATCATAGATTATTATATATGATTTGATTCTTTGCACATTTTAAAAGTTTTATCATTTTTAGCAGCCCTTCTATTATTACACGGAAACATGATTTATTCTAGCTTCTGGACAGACAAATTGTTCTGATTTTTCCAGCTGTTATTCATATCTTTCGCCTTGCCAGTTTTCACATATAGCCCTGATCATATTTTGTGCATGATTGTACGTACGTGTCTATTCACCCCCTGTATTTTTTACATGCCTTATAAAATCTGAGTCATGTTACTGATCTCAAAGTCGGTGTATTGCCGAATCCCAGTGCTTTATCCGTCCGCTGCATCCCTTATTTCTTTTCTGTCGTTCAGTCTTATCATATCTGAAATGAGTGTATCTTAAATACCAATTGTATTCTACTTTTATTATCATCTACGTCGTTTTATCACGTGATTTGTTGATAGTGTTTACAAGGTCAATTTGTATACACATTTCATTAGCACCATGATCCACTAATGATTTTCGTCATTGATGGAGTCAACCCTGTGCGCTACACACTAAACGTTTGCAATATTAACCTTCTAACCAAGGTTCAAGTTCACATGATTCTATTTGTCCGAATGCGATAATACAACTGACTCATTACCTCAAGTCAAAATTTAACTATATGGTTATAGTCCTTGTTGGAGCTTTGGTAACTACAAGAAATGATGCTGAACAGAGGAATTAGTCTATAAACAAAGGTGACTTAATGATCTAAATATTGTTAGAAATTTAAAAAAATGTGATTGGGTAACTTTCGTATCTCGGTCAGGAGAGATTACCTAGTTCAGTTACTCAACCCCTAAGTGATTCAAGTGTACTTCATCCACGTGTATAAGGATCAGTCTGTTCATCAAATAAGAAACTTTTAAAATATTTTAGCAATTAACCTTCATTTGTGCACATGTAAACAATGTTACTCGTTTTACTGTAATGAAATTTCCCTGAACATCAAGTACACCGTTGTGTTTATTTAATTGTAAATTAGATTACTGCTCACGTGTAGAGAAAGCAAGTCCTTTTCCACTGTTTAATAAAATTTCAAAATCTTTTATTTTCGAGCATCTTTCTGTTCATTTAGTGGATGATTGTTGCATATTAAAGTATGGTCTCCACTAGATACTTTATTTCAATCATCTAAAGCTATCTAGACTTGTCATCTGTGAACACGTCACTGTAGAGTATGCTAACTTATCGGGTGAAAGAGGCAAATAAAGTAAAATTTAGAGCTTGAAATAAAGTTCTCAGTGAAAATCATATTCTTTATGAAGCATTCACCTACCAAGTGAACTGAAAATCACCCAATAATGGCTGTTACCGTACGTATATTAAGTACTGATAAACGCATATGCTATATATTCATGAACACGTATCTTGTCTCTTTGCTCTTCTAGAGGAAAAATCATCACTGAAAGAAATAAAAATTGACAGCAAACAGAAAATGTTTAGTGTCATTGATTTACATTAAAATGTAAACAATGTCGAATGATTTCATCTTAAAATTTTAAGAATGACGTTTGGTGTTTGAACATGTTAATTAATGACTAAATGTTAAATGATCGACTGTAATGAAAACTGTTAATTCACTTAAATGTATTTGTTGTTTTATTTGTTTGGCTAAATTTCGATTTTGTTTTTCTTTCTGTGGTCACTATAGCAATGACAGAATTAACATATTTTTCCTCGTTGATTTATTATGCACACACACATATATATATTTTAATGATAATTATACAGGTATTTTAATTCAATGTGATGAATGTGGCGATGGATTCAAGTCTACTAGTTCACTTAAAAATCATATAAATTTAGTGCACAAAGGTACCCTATTGATTTTGTTCTGTTTTAATACAATGTTCACTTAAATTTAAATATAACGGGAAATGTGTAGTTGGTGTAAATATTTTTCAGTTCTACATGAGATGAATTATATCAAACTTGAATAACTTGGTAATTTAATCCTTAAGTGTAACGCTGGATAATACAGTTTAAAATCTCTTAGGGGAGAATCAGTTTCATTAAGATTTCAGGTACGCTTTACTGACTGATGAATATAAATTAACGTAAAATCATATCCTAAGTTTTCCTACCGATTGCTTCGAACTATCTCACATTGAGAATTGGTTAGCTCACACAATCTTGATTTGAATCAATCAGTGGCTACATTGCTACTTGATCGACCAATATTTCACTAGGTCTAAGAATTTAACTAACATGATATTGGTTATTACTCGGTGATCAATAAATTATTTGATAATATCGTAGTTTTCTATTGTACTTGGAAATAAGACATGTTACTACTTACGTTATAAGAAAATAACATAGTTTTTTCATCATATGTTGAGGAACGTTTGACAACCACGGAGTATCAAAAACCCAATCTGTTTTAAATTTAAAACCCACCATTTTGTTATGTACTATCGACAACCTCAAGAATAATAATATCCACCCAACTATCTTAAGCATTCTTGCCTCTATTAGTATTTCCTGATTTTATCCAGAATTATGTCTCATACACTTTTAAGCTGTGACAAAGTTCAGAAATTGTCACCATTGTTTTTCAATAGGTCGAGATCCAATAGTTTACAATTTCTAGCTAATTATATTTACTATTATTGAATTTTACACTACGCTTTTATGATACGTCATAAACGTTTTGAAAACATCAGACTTTTGTTGTTTTTCTAATGATATTTATATTTTCAAATTAGTGACTAGTAGGATGATTTCAAATCGATTTATCTAAATATTTAACTCAGTTTTTTTTGTTTTGGCAGTCAAACACCAGAATATCAATAATTACACTGGTTAATGTATAATCTTTTATTCAAAAATGAGAAAAAACAATTCTCACGTGATAACACTGTCGTTCTACTAGTAGATATTTAAGTTCAGCTTTATTCGCTTTTCTACCTGGTTGTCCTAATCAAAATAAAAATATTGATTATTTTATGACCCAATGTTGTTGGTTTGATAATAAAAAACTGGTTGGTACTAAATTATCACACGGATGGCAACAAATTACGATTGTTATTTCTAAGTGAATCGTGTCACCATTAACCGTGTAAATTATCAAAAGACAACACAAGGCCTGTATGTGGATGTAAAGAATCACCTATGTAGCGATAGTGCTTTTTTTCTGAGAACTTTGGACCTTTAATCAACCTTAAATTTTGATCGAAAACAGTGTAATATGATTTACGCTAATTGACTTAACGACAGATTATCCATTTTAATTATACTTAAATCATCCAGCTTCATAAATGAAAATGTAGACTAGAGTAACCTATAAATTAGTCAATAACTTGAAATGTCCATATCTAAATAAGCCAATTCCTATTTGAGAGAGGTTCGAACTGGAATCCTGGTGATTAAAAGCCTAATGTTTTGTCTATTAAATTACCAGTTCAATGTTTACTTAAAAAGTTATAAAGTTATAAAATATTAATCTTCTTTCTTAAAAATATCTGGAAGAGATATGGTGCTTTAACCTCGAATAATCATTGATATGGTAATGTTAAATAACCTGATCTTATTTTTTCTTCTCGTTCTACGTACATGTATATGTTTATCTAATCAGGTTTGGGATTTCAATGTCATTATTGTAATAAAGTGTTTACACAGAGACATACCTTAATAATACATGAAGAATGTGTTCATAAAGGTAAGTTAAACAAGATTGCGTATACCCATATTTTTGTGTATCATCCATGTTATTTAGAATTACAACCCCTATTTTAAAAAATAAGCAAGAAATTTGACCACATCATTAAAGTGTGAGTTGGTAAGATTTTGAATATTCTCACTAAATGGCTATTGTTATCAGTGGGAAATTAGTGTAGGCAAAGGCATTTTTTGTGACAAGGATTATGTCCAAGGGCCAAAATCAGATACGTGTCAGTCTGGTTGATGACTGAGGTCTATGCCACTTTTTGGTTTGGTGGGGATCAAGTTTATTAGATCTTGAAGCTCATCGACGATCGGTAATTTCATTTGTTGATGTCGTGCAGTCACCAACGCACAAGGACTTCTTCCGTTTTGAGTCAAGCGGCTACATTTCTCTGGTATGGCACTCAAAAGCTAACTCAGAACTGGCAGACCAAGAAAGTTCGACTTTCTAATTAAAGCAAAGCATTGCAAAGTTTACTGTTTGGTTTTAACCCAACGTGACTTCTGCCTAGGGCTCCAAATGAGTTATCAGTGGTCAATCAGGTTTTAAAGGTAATCATTACCAACAATTTTGTTATACGAATGATCAAGCAAAATATTTAAAATTTGAATTTTGTCAAAATAGAAAAAAATACTTGACAGAGTCGTTAGACATCAATGTTAAAATCATCCAAAGGAACAAAAATGTTGGTTCTATCCACCACCAATATTGAACCCCTACGGTATCCAAAATTATTTACTTACTGAAAATAATTACTCCACTATAAGTACTTTAGGATGATCAATTTATATCACTATTGAATGTTCAAATGTTTTACACAATCTATTTTCCATGGGTTCTTACATGTCCAATGAATCATTTTTAAAGTATACTTTTTTGTATACTACTTGACAATCCATACTATTTGTATATTAGTTTGCATTTGATTAATATATATATTATTATAACTATTATTATGGACCTATAACTGTAGAGTCTTATGATGAAGTTATTGAAAACAATTGTTCGCTCAAATATTCTTTATTTTTGAATATTGTCTGAGGATTTTTAAACTGCTTATATATATATATATATATATATATATATATATATATATATATACACTTGAATCTTTCCTCCCTTTGAAGGAATAGGCTGCCCTCTAAGGGTCTCCAAACAACTCTGTCTTCGCTCCTCTTTCCAGCTTTCATCAAGTGCTATTCATGGTTCTGATCTCTGTCTTCAAATTTCGGCTCCATATGTTATTCACTCATTGTTTTCCTTTTTCCCTGAAGATTCAAAGTTAGGGCTTGCCTCGTTCGATGGTTTCGACAAATTGTATCCTATGCTTCTTCAGCTGCCAGTTTGTTTGTTCTTTTCTACAGTAGGTTATTGCTAATGGTTTCGATCAATTGATCTAGAGCATCTTGTGTAGGCAGCTTTTTGTGAATACCTGTACATCTTTGGTAGCGATTGCGGTAACTCGTCAAGTTTCAGCTCCATACAATAAAATTGTTTAGATGTCACTGAAAATCCTGACTTTAGGGTAGGGTGACAGTTGTTTTGAGCGTCACATATTCTCCAGTTGTAGAAATGTCTCCCATGTTTTCCCAATGATTCCCTTGACATCTGTATCAAACTCTCCTTGCTTGTCGGTGACTGTCCAGGTATGTAAAACTTTCCATCTCTCTCAAAGCTTCTTCATCAAGTGTGACTGGGCTGGCGCTCTCTGTATTGTATTACAAAGTCTTACTTTTTTCCTTGTGTATGTTGAGGCCTATTGTCGTAGAAGCAGCTACTACACTAACTGTCTTCACCTGCATTTGTTTTTGAGTATGGGATAGAAGAGCTTGGTCATCTACGAAGTCCAAATCGTCTAGGTGCATTTAAGTTGTTCATTGTATTCCGTGCTTTCCCTGAGATGTAGAGGTTTTCATAAAATAGTCAACCACAAGACGAGAGCAAGCATCCTTGTCTGACACTGGTCCATACTTGAAATGCATGTCACCTGTCCTCTATGCGCGACTTTACAGTGTAGTCCATCTCAAGAACTCCGAGTGATGTTGACGATCGTCGCAGGAACACCATGGTGTCGAAGAAAATTTCACAAGGATCTCATATCCATGCTGTCAAATGATTTCTCATAGTCGAGGAAGTTGATGTATGGTAATGATTTTCATTTAAATGATTGTTCAACCGTGATTCGAAGTGTTGCCATTTGATTGGTAACGATCAATCCATATGGAATGCAGCCTGTGTTGATCTCGACGTTAGATGTCTGCTTTATCTTTCATTTGGTTCAGCAACATTGTTGTTGCACTTAACATACAAATTATTAATAATCTCACCCCCGAAGTATTTCAAATCAGTTTTCGTCACGACATGTAGGTAGTGTTCGTCATAAAGCCAACTCCTGTGATAATTGTCATGCATGGTCACGAGTTTAGTACGACTGTATAATCTTGAACTACGACTAAACGGTTATTAAATGAATGTTTCATGTCTTTTTTTTCATAAGAAATAAACCTGAATTCATGCACTCGACAAATTTCTTATATCAGTAGTCAAAGTATTTCTAAACTGTAGGATATGCCGCACTGGATGATTTTGTATAATGTTTGAAGTTTGTAGACTTCTCTATCATAATTATCGTATGTTTATACAGTGGAAAAGTAAATTCATTATTTTGTTTTAATTTCTATTTTTTCCTCCCTATCCAGGTATCAAAATATCATGTAATCATTGTAGCAAAAAATTTGCATCTCGATGGTATTTAAAAGAACACATCACAATCGTCCATGAAGGTAAGTTGGATGTTGTTTTGTTTCATAAATTTCCTGTTTGACGCTCATTCCTCTACATAACTGTTAAACAATAAGTTGATATTCGTGTAACTGACCGAAGTGTTTTCGTATACCTTGAGACTAATGTAAGATGGTATTATTACTTGTGTACATTAATTTCTATCGCAAGCTGATGTCAGTTGGAGAAACACTGGAGATAAACATGTGATGGATAAGTGTTTAATTCTAATTTGAATCTCTTCAGTTTTTGCGGAAAATTCACAAAAAACACTGTAATTAATTGATTGGTTGACTCAGCACTATGGTCTCTACAACCTCGGACGATCCTTAATGTTATGTGGTCATTTACTATAGAGAATAACAAAGGTAAAACGGAGCACTGGTTCAGTGCTTCCTGGTTTATAATGAATATTCAACCGACAACTTCTCATGTAATAGCGGGGTTACTGTATTGTGCAACGGGAGAGCGTTTGTAATATGTACTTCGCAAATAAGAAAACAACACTGGTGCAGATGATGAATTATTTCATCCTTCAAAATATAACAACCAGTTTGCAGTTGATGAACTAAAAATCACATATAAGGAAAATACAAAATTGATGTTACACTAAAGCAGCAAAAGACGCATGCTTCATGTCATACTGAACAAAGTTCACACTAAGTGAATACGAAGAATATTATTCCGAACATACGTCACACTAATAAAATTCATTTTATACAAAACAAAATATCACACTAATAATGAACAAATATCCTATTAAGCGGCAGTGACGTAAAGTACAGATTTATTTTTTTCAAATAAAAGTCACTATACTAAAACCACTTCACGTTTTTATCCCGTCCCAATAATATATATGTAGAATCACATGATAGATAAACTACTAGTATGTATTGTGTTCCAACTGTTCGATAGTTTTTGATTGAGATCATGAAGTGATTGATTTTAGACCACCATTGGAAACCTGGGAGCACTAGATGGCCGTTTCGTCCTCCTTGGCAGTGCGCATCCATGATCCCGCTCGCAGGATCTCAATCAAAAACTTAATAATCTCTACAACCCCTATACTGTTCGATAGTTGTTAGGCAATTACTTAACATAAGTTGAAACGACTGTTTTGACTATGAAACAGTTCATTCATTTGTAATATTCACATCCCATCATGGTACATGATTCATTGCAGAAAGATTATCTTATACAAATATTCAATTCAGTGAATATTGTATATTGTGTAATTACTTGTATGCAATTTCATATGAAAAATGAAGTAAATTTCATCACTTTTTTAATACATTTGTTTGAGCTTATATCTATTAATCACGTTATCTATTCACATGCTTTTATAAAAATCCTATAACTTGTCACTCTCCTGATTACTGCAATCCTCGAACAGATCAATATCTTGCTAAATTTTTCTGATTGTCTACCTTTTAGTTGAGTAAGATGCAACTGTAATTGGATTTGATCCAGATGCAATAAGAGTACAAATACTTTTGACACTTTTAACATATTATTATAACCTAACATAATATATAACTGAATGCAGAATAATTGTTTGCAAATCATTGTTATGTGTATCATAATTTTTTTCACTTTTCTAGGTAATTTACTAAAATGTGAACTCTGTGGTCGGTCATTCAATTCACATTGTGCATTACGTTATCATTCTAATATTGTTCATAAAGGTTGGTGAATAGTTTGTCAATACTAATTTATTTGTAACTAGAAGTTTTTTTTATTTGTCTTGCTACTCTTGACTCTCCAAACATTGATATCTTAACCGCTTCCTATCTTTAGAAATCTCCCTTTCTCTAACTGCGAGCAGAGAAGAAATGGTTGGAAATATAGAAGTTTTACTTCGTAGGTTATATTATGTACAGGAAACTAGAGTATTGGTGAGTTTGAGGTATTCAGAGCTGAAGCAAAAAGTCAGTGCTTCGGTCTGGGCACCCGGGTAATATTACAGCCCACACACAAAGCAAATGACAATTATTACTGGAAACATTCTTGCTTCAATTAACATTCAAACAAATCACATTCATTATTATTTTTTTATATACCACGTCACTTATTTACTCTCTTCTATTCTCACTTAGTGTATTCTTATTTTTAACTTATACTGCAGCTCTCCTGTGGTGGAAACCCTGTTCTATCTAAACGATCTCGAGTCACTAACTGGTCGAAAATTGAATGCTACCATCGAATACGAATACTGAAAGTCTTTCTGAAACCGTATATACCATTCAAACTGGCTTCCTTCAACGTCCGCACACTAATGCAGATCGGAAAACAGACAGGGTTGGCTATGTCTTTAGAATGTCTTAATATCGATGTCTGTTGTATATCCGAGACCCGTATTCAAGACTTTAGTGAGGTATTACAAATTTTCCCCCCATATGTAGCTTCAAGAGGCTTGTTTCACGCGCGTTTACCCGAGGATCATGTGGCATTTCCGTCTGGTTTTGCTGGCATTGGTGTCGCACTAAGCGCTAGAGCTGAGGTAGCACTGACCCATTGGATCCCCATTAATAGTCACTTATGTGCTGCTAGACTAGAAAATTCCATCGAAGTGAGAAGAAATCGGCGTGAGAAACCATGCCTTTTCGTTATCTCCACCTATGCTCCGACAGATTGCAGTCCGGATGCAATCAAGGATAAATTCTACCACCAGTTAACTGTTCTTCTCCAGAAAGTGCGTTCGACAGATATTGTAGTACTAGCCGGAGACTTGAATGCTCAGGTTGGGCGTCTATGTACAGAAAAGAGTGGTTTGGGTGGCCGATGGAGGCTTGTTAGTCGCAGAACAGATAATGAGGACCGTCTACTGCAACTGTGCGCAGACTACAGCCTGTTTCTAGCTAGCACTAAATCCCGGCACAGTCATCGCCGATGTGTTACCTGGCGTTCTCCCTCTATATCTCAGGCCTGGACTCAGATTGATCATACCGTGATCAGCTACCACTGGTGTGGTTGTGTAAAAGACTATCACTCCTTTTGGAGTACCTATCTGATCTCTGATCATGCCCTTGTTTGCGCTATTCTTATTTTAAGTTTCAGTAGCCAACACATTTATTCTCCTAAATGGATCGATGCCAGTAAATTGGTTGAAGCTTCTGTTGCAGTTAAATATCAAACCGCGCTAGGTTCAAGGTTAGCTACCATTCCACCGAAAAGTATAGATGAGCATTGTTTGCAATTGCATGACGCCATGAAAATGGTGAGTAAAGCCACTTGCGGCTTCGCGAAACGTTCCACTGGGTTTCTTCAGGCTCCTTACAACTCATCGAAGCCCGTCGATCTACTCCAGGTGATTGCAAGTTTGACTATATACGAAGAAATTGGGCGAAGCTTGTGTAAGGACCGACAAGCCTGGTGTTCGGAGCGTGCTGATGAGTTGGAAGCAGCAGCTGCATCTGGTCACTGCGTAAGCTCTTCCAACTCACAGGCTGCAAAAAGTTTGTTTTGAGCGAAACAATCTGTGAGGATGACGGGATGCCAGTCAATAGCATCTATAGACGTCTTGAACGATGGGCAAAGTTTTTCGAGGACCAGTTCAACTGGTTTGGTACCCTAGCAACATTAATCAGACTGTCCTACCCTACATGGGCTGTGATGACTGATCCACGAAACGAGACGGAAGTCTGCAAGGAATTCTAACTCTTGAAAGGCTAAAAATTACCAGGCCCAGATGATTTACGTCCAGTCCTTTTCAAAGATGGTTGGGACTTTCTTTTTATTAAACTGACTGAGTTGTTTACAAAAGTTTGGCAGTTAGAGAGTGTTCCAGCATCACGGGATGAGTCGATAATTCTCCCTATCTTTAAAAAGGGTTCACATCGTTTCTGAACAACTATTGTGGGATAAGCCTGCTTTCGATTGCGTCCAAACTACTGTCTTCCGTCATACTTCGTAGATTGTTCAAAACCCGAGGAAGATTGATTCGCGAGCAACAAGCAAGTTTTCGTCCTAATCGAATGTGTCTATTGAAGAAGGGTGTGCCTGAGAAGTTTATTAACATCACAAAAGGCCTATATACAAATACATAAGGTAGAGTGAGGGCATACAACGACCTTTCTCCGTTGTTTCATTCAAGCAGTGCGGTTAGACAGGGCTGCCCAATCTTACCATTCCTCTTCAACTTTGCTATGGATGAAGTCCTGGATACAGCTCTGATGGATGTAAATGATGGTGGTGTGGATATATGTTGCGTGGAGAATGACTTTTCGACCTTGAGGATGCGGATGATATTGCCTTACTGTGCGATGATACTCAAGCCATGCAATCTGAACTGAAAGGACCCTGATCCTGCACTCACCCGGGGTAGTGAGCAGATAGTAGTCGAGAAGTTCGTGTATCTGGGTAGCTGCATAAGTGCTGGTGGTGGCGTGAGTGATCAGATCAATTCACGTATAGTAAAATCCAGAGCGGTTTATGTTAATCGGGGCTATCTCTGGCGCCTTCGCGATGTTAGTCCGGCTGTAAAAGACCGGATCTACAACGTATCGGTGAGAGTAGTTTTGCTCTATGCTTGTGAAGCCTGGCCTCTCTGAGTTGAGGATGTTAGACGATTCCCTGTGTTTGGTCGTCGTTGTCTCCGAAGAATTACTGACATCCAGTGGCAACACCATGTTAGTAATGCAGAGGCTGGACATCATGTGTTCGGGCACAGCGACGATAATTCAGTTAGTATCACTACCTCGAAACATCGACTTCGGTGGCTTGGACATGTTCTGCGCATGTCGTTCCAGAGAATCCCACGTGCATTATTTGCCGACACTGGGACTAATTGGAAAAAGCGGAGAGGTGGTCAGTGTACGACATGGTGTTGTGGTATGAAAGATGGCTGTACAGGACTGGCTTCTGTCAATCATTCATAACTCTCTTATGGGGTCCTAGAGATGGTGCAATACAGTGTCTAGAGACGTTATCAGACATAACTCAGAATAGAAGTCAGTGGCGATTATGCTGTAACTTTCTCCATAAATGAACTCAACTTCTTTAACTGAAGTTCTTTCTGGTTGTACTTTTGCTAACTGTACTGCCTCTCCCATACACTAATTTCTGTTCGTTGTTCTCCATTTTGTTGTACGCACTTTACATTCTCGATCTCTTTACAGCCTTATTGTTCTTGTGTGGCGCATATGTATTTGGTGCCCCTTTGTGACAATATTTATATGTCAACTGTACTACCTTTCCCATTACTATTATTTCACTCCCATACACTAATTATTATTTTAATTGAGATCGTGAACCGATCGATGTTAGACCACTATGATCTCAATCAAAACCTTCACAGCCTTATTGTTCTTGTGTGGTGTATATATATTTGATGTACTTTTATGCAAGTATTTATATGTTCAAATGAATAACAAAATTACAGTCAAATTACCATTATGTTCGATAATTATTCAGGTCAACGACGAAAATGTCAGTTGTTTTCCAAAACATATTAGTTTGTTATCCAGAATGATGAGTTCCACATTTTCATATTATTTTCTTGAATATCTTTGTTTTTTCTTGCCTTGAATTTGTCCAGATTATATATACATTGTTCTGATAATCTTTGTCTTATTACACTATCAAAAGTTGCTTTCTAGTTTCGAGAAACCGATTAGTCGGAATGCTTTCTGCATTTTTCCCGGTTTCTGGAGAATTTTTCAAACAAACCATGATATTAACTTCCGCTTTGCCTATTTCAACCCTTAGCATTTTAGAGCGGTTGACTGTAGAATATGTATTAAGGTGGTTATGTCGCTAAACATTTATTTTAATAATCGTCCTGGAATCTTCAGAAAAGTCGTCCAATTCAGCTACGATCTTCCCTTTTGTTAAATAAGATTAGACAAGAAAATAAATCCTGGAATCCATGAATTACAATGATTCCCTAATAAATGGTATTTCTTAACACATTTGTATGTTGAGCATACTAATGTATCATAGTATATTTGTTATGCTGGCAACATTAGGCATCATATACCAATTAAGTTTTGTTCGACTCTGTAACAATATGTAAGTCGCTTATGTTAATAGAATCACAAGATCATATATTTTATATTTGACGTACGGCAAACTGCTTTGGGCATTGCATCAATTTATACGCATAGGTGGGATAGTTTTAAAAAGGCTATCAATTTTGTAAAGCGCCTATATAAATGAATACTTGTAGATCAAACGATTAGTTGTCATATTCAAACCGTTTTCATGTTATCCTGCATGAATAAACTGTAGCCACCAATGAATTTTGATAAAGATTAAAATAAATACTTAAAAGATATAGAGAATAGACACAGTTTATCATGGACCTTGAAGTCATTGTTAAACAAGAAGCCAATTCGTTCAGAGTATTGGCAAAAATATTCTGAAATATCAACAATTACAATATTGACTAATTCATATTTTGGAAAATTCACCACCGTTTTTAAGCATAAAACTGATTATCACATCAAAATTAACTTTGGTTAAATATTACTCAAGTTCCCCATGGATACCTTCTCAATGATTAACTCCAAACTTTCGCAGCATAATCAGAAATAATAAAGGCTTCTCAAAAATCAACAAAATTATTTTCCTCAGTAAACTGTCTTAATTTTCACTTGATAATGGATGGCTGTTTATTTTGTTGCTGAAAAATCATTATCTTATTACATTTTGAGTGTTTTACGTTTAAACAAAAACAAATTATTAGCCTATCCTTCATATATATTCCAATTTCAGATCATAAATTCCAATGTCCACATTGTCCCAAGACTTTTCGTTTGAAAAAATACTTAGAAGGTCATGTAAAACGAGTTCATGCTAGTAAGTGAAAAATTTTCGACCAAATTTTTGTGTGAATAAAACTTTCTTTTACAATGAAAATGTTACATTAAGAATTAGCATTAGAAACTAAAGAGAATAATTTAAGGGCGAGGGAGAGATATCAAACAGCTTTTTCTAATCAGATTTAATGACGCATTATTATACACCTATAACACACGTACACACAATTCATCATATATGATATCTGATAGTTTTGATGACGAATACATTGTACCTTTACAACTAAGTCTTAATCCCAAGTGATGAAAGTTACCACTGAGAACTCTGTCACTGTTACTGCTATCAAATTTATCTTCAGTTGATGCCTCTCAACAATACATAGATGTATTCGTGAATTTATTACCCACAGCCGTGATAATTTACGTTTTATTCAATAGATTGAATGTTCGAATCGTATCCCACCCTATTCCCAGTTTCAACAACCAAATAGTATCATTAGTCCGTTATGCACATACTGTGACTGAAGGCCGAGTACAATAAATATTCACTTGGTCAACGAGTTATTACTTATCAATCGAGCACTAATTTCATAAAATTAACTTTTTTTTAATAAAATTATTGAACCAGTCGATATAGTCAATCGCGTTATCGGTTTATGCTTTAATCCAAATATTGCTGATCACTTGTAAAGGGATAAATATTATATTTTGTACATTTGAATGCTCCATTCCAACTCACTGTCCAAACTGATTAATTATCACTTTTGATTGAGTTACTGATTGTTTAAGAAATATAGTTAGCACTGTTTTAGTGGCTGAGGAGCATTCGAATCTTCAGAACTTCGGTTTAGACAACCAAGCAGTATCATTGTTCCTTATCCTCACATACAAAATCAACATGTAAATGGTATAAAAATAGATGTCACATTATTTCACATCATTTCCTTTTAACGTACTATATCGTTAAATAAGATTAGTTTTTACTATTTTGCCGTTTTTCACTAATTTCTGTTCATTTTAATTCATAGATTTGGGTAAAGGAAATACGCAAACAGTTTAAAATCATAAAATGTATGCACATACGATGAAGATATATACGATTCAGCTTTAATTCTGATTATTATCACTACTACTACTACTAGTAATACTGCTATCGTTGTTGTTTTTAAAATTATTATTACTAACATCCTTCTCTCCTTTATATATTTCCATTTAACACAATTCTTCTTGTTTTATCAGTGTGTTATTATTCTTGTCAAACGTGAATCTCCGTTCGCAATTACACTTGTTGTAAACGACATAGAGAAGAGTTGTTTTAGAAAACAATGAAATAAATAATGAACGAGTGAAATGTAAATAAGGCAAATTGCAATGTTTTGCTTCAATTTTTTATCAATGTTTATTTCTTCTCTGTCAGTTTTTTGTTTCGGTTTAAAAAATATATACAACCATTATATATATATATATATATATATATATATATATATATATATTGGTACGCACTAATTTGAAATACATGAATGCATTTGTTATTATTGATTTACTTATTTACAAATGTTTATCAACACATACCACTTAATAGGGCCGTTTGTTAGCACACTGAAGCAGATTAAAATAAAGTTAGCTACAACCAAACCAGTTCTCCACCACTCGTTAAAATTCATTGACCATTTTTCTCAAACGTGTCACCAGATGAAACCTAATTAAGGTTTGTATGGTAACTGTAATTCATAGCTGGAAATATGGCTGAAGATTGGTTACATTTGAACGATGTACTAATTCGTAACCTGTATATAAATTGTCGAGTTTTACTTATCTCACAATTTTGCACTCTGAATATCTTTCGAACCATATTCTTGATGATCAGTGTACTATTGTTTGAAGTGCTATCACTTTGTGACAAATTGGGACGACACCGAGCCAGATTCTATGCTATGTACGACTACTTGAATTGGTTACTTATTGACCTTACTAGTTTAGAAAACATTTATTTATTCCACCATCTACTTCATATACCTCCTACTCTAGAGGTTATTGTAGGATTTAAAGCAGACTGCAAAATTAAACTTTCCTCCACTAATATGTCAAGAAAGGCCGTACAGATCACATATCACTGTATAGTCGGAGGGATTTAATGGAACCGTAGAGGGGCTAATGTAAATGAATTCATTATGCGTGTCACTAAGATCGATAGACATACATTCCTATCTGGACGAGTCAAATACTGTAACTGATGACCTTCTACGACTTGTCTTCAAAAACCTTAATCTAATGAATTTTGGGTAGAATTTAATACATGTAACTAAATCTTGAGAGTTGAAATTTTTCATTTAAGTATAACGCCTATCAATTAACGACTCAGTATTAATATTGCTACTTGACAGATTTAAAAAAATAACTACTGTTATATGACAGAAAAGGAGTCTATATATAAATGTTTTTAGAAACGTACCGAGAAACTCGAAGAAATTACAAGAGATCATTACAAACGGTCACAGTTTTCAAATCTGTTAAATTACTATTGAATTTACATTTATAACCAACCTTAGTTTGGATTGCATTCATTTTGGGAAATAAGCCTACAATGTCGGCATTTAAGTGAGGACTATGGGGACCGTCCATCGCAATAAGTCATTTCTATGGTCAGCAT